AAATTATTGTTATTTTGAAAATTTTCTCTTTGATTAAACTGTGGTCTGTACATTTGTTGAGAATTACTTTTAAATTGTGAAAAATTTTGATCATTATTTCTGAATTTTGAATAATTGTTACTAGGTAAATTGTTATTTTGATTATAATTATCATGAGGTATATATTGCTTTTGAAATTGATTGTAGTTATTTTTAGAACTATTATTATTTTGAAATTGATTATTGTTATAGCGTGGTGAGTTATTATTAAATCTATTATTATTTTGAAATTGACTTTTATAATGTGAATCGTTGTTATAATTGTGAAATTGATTATTTCTTTGTAAAAATTTACTAGATGAGTTGTTATAATTTTGAAATTGCCTATTATTAGGTATGAGATTAATATGTTCGTTAAAAAATTGTTCCTGATTTTGTTTAAAATTTTGAAATTCTTCAATTAATTTTTTTAAATCATCATTCTCATTATTCTGGGTGATTTTATTGATTTTTTCATTAATTATAGATTGTTTTATTTCAGACGGACTTTTAGCTGTTTCTCCAGTAATCATAAATTCAACCATCTCATACTTCTGAATGTTTCTTTTTAACTCGTCTAAATTATTATTGTCTAAAATACTAACGTATCTCGCAATGCTTGGTTTGAGACCTTTCATAACATTTCTCACTATTTCGCTACCTAATGTTTTTAAGAATGAGTCTACGCGTTCATTTATTCCACCCGAAAATGTAGTTGGTTTGAAAAATAAATTTTTATTCATGTTGAAATTATTAGTTACTTTGGGTGAATTTGAATTTTGATCAATAATATTTTTATTATTAGTTTGCGTTAGTGTTTTAGGTAGAAAAAACCAAAATAGCCTAACTTTTAATTCTGATACAGTGCCTGTAGTAGATAACTTTCTTGTTTCAAGTTCTTTAATAAGATCGGGTCTTTTTAAACTATTAATCCATTCTAAAGTTTTTTTGTATTCGTCTGGAATACCTTGTATCTCAATTAATTCTACTTCCTCTGACATAACTCTAAATATTCACTTATACAGTTTTATTCTCAAATACTGTATTATTCATATAAATTTATTCTCAACTCGTAATTTTTCTTTTTTATTTCAAAATGTTAATTTAAATAATTTTAAGTTACGCGCAATTTTCAATAATAAATTCAATTTTATATATAATAAGCCTATTTAAATTTTTTAGATTTAAACGACTTTTAATGTAAGCGCAATATGATTTTCAATCAATAATATAATCAATTATTTTTTGGTCAATAATTTAATTCCCAAATTNCAATCAATAATATAATCAATTTTTTTTTGTTCAATAATTCAATTCCCAAATGATTTCAATTTTTTACTTCTTTTGAGATATTATTTTTAATTTAATTTATGCTCAATATAATTTTCAATAAATAAATAATTCCAATAAGTGCGATTTTATTTTTAATAATTTCTATTCAAACAAATAAGCGCAATTTACTTTTTTTTTTAAATTCAATTTAATTTCAACATACGCAATTTTAATTTTCAATAAATAATTTAAATTTTCATATAATAAGCGCGATTTGATTCTCAAATTTTATTTAATTAATTTTTTTATTGACAAAGAAACAATTCTCAACCAATTTTTCATATAAATAATATGAAAATAGCAATTCAAATACTTTTTCTGAGTAATAGTCAAAAAAAAACCCTTAGTAAGATTAACTAAGCCTGTTGTTGGGCGCCACTTTGTTATAATTCAAAAATAGAAATAAAAAAAGTAAAATGTTAGTAAAATATAAATTATGAAAATGAGGGATGAATGATGGGTATAGTGAGAACCTGATGTTGTGGTTCTATCGGGGTCGTATGGTTCGAGGGTTTAGAACAATAAAGACAAGTAGATATGAAGAAATAAAAGCATGTCCTCTTTCTTGAGGAATATGAGCTAATAAACTTGTAAACACCTTTAATAGGACACTGAGGTAACGGGGCGGTAATCCGACCCTCGAGACCCTGTAATGTGTATATGTAGCAGGTGTGAACAAACTAGCAAAATAGCTCTTGATATTAAAAGGAGATTATAGATCTATTGCTTTATCGTTCTTTACTCAGATTATTAACTTTAAATAAATGGAATAATATAAATTGACTTACCTTCGTATTTTGTAATGTCCAAGAAGATAAATGAAGTATTTACCAGAAATGCCAATTTTTACTCAATGTTATTTGTTTATGGTAATAATGTCTTTATAGATCAAAATAAGTTTTAAACATAAATAAAGTAAACAAAATAAAATAACTCAAACGGCAGCACGGGGCCGTGATCAAAATGTAATAGCAAGAGTAGTTTGCAGGAAAGAACTAGCTTACTGGAGATGTGGCTCTGGCCTTAGCCGTAGCCGTGGCTCTCTGTCTCTCTGGGTTTTTCAATGGATATCAGTACTTTTTATAGTACTAAAAAGGTACCCCCATATCCAGGGATATTGCCGTTTGTGTTATTTATGATTATTATTTATTGTTTCAAAGTATACATTACATGATAATTATATTAGATAATATAGTTGACAATAGATGAGTTGGCATATATATAAATAATAATAAATTGTATTGAACAGCATATTTGTTATGACAGATAAATTATTTGTTTGTTTACAAGTTGTTTAAAATACAAATTATACATTTTTCATTGATAATTGTGAGATGCTTAGTGCAAAGTATTAAGCATATCACGACAATATTCCAATACACCTTTTACTATCCTTTGCGTCAACTGCCTACATTTTACAGAGAGATAATTTGGCATAGTCCTTTATGGCTGACGAGTACACAGGCAAAAAATATTACTACTAAGACTAATTAATTTTAATCACAAATTACGCTTCTTCACCTAGTTCGGCACATTCAAAGTTGTTCATAAATGAAGGACACGATAAGCTTTATTATGAATGTTCAATAATGTATAACGCAATTTTGCCTATAAAAATAAAATGAAAGACACAATAATTTTTAAAACTTATATAAAATACAAACTATATTTATTTCTTGTAAGGATATTAGGAAATAGTAAAAATAATTAAAACTTATTTCTGTGTAAAATATTCATAAATCAGCTAAAACAATATTCAACATTTAGAATGATATTAGATAATATATGAAAAATATATATAAAAGCTCTATAAAGCTCTATATAAAAGCTGAGATATTAGATAATTATTTGTGATTGGTTAATTGTGATAGAAATTCTGAAGTGGGCGTAGTTAATGAATTTTAGGGGACTGGTTTGAAACACGTGTTAATAAATGGTTATTTTGATTTCCCTAAAAACGAAACATTCCTTAGATGATTTTAGCTTTATTCATATATATGTGATATTTAATACATGTGTTAATAATTATATTACATATACAATTTATATATACAGAGTGATTTTTTTATCATAACCCACTCAATTACTTGCAGAATAATAATAATTTAAACATTTTTTTTTATTATTATCTTTAGTTACACAGTATTCTTGAATTTTTAACTATGTAATACTTCTTAAGTTCATCCCTTATACCTTGGAGGGGGGTCAACTTTGTTTTTTTAAATGGTAACACATATTTTTAATTTAATAAAATGTTTGAGTTTTTAATTTAATAGTAAATGGCATTTGAATTTTTAATATAACTTAATTAGTTTATTAGATATAATCATTTAAAGTTTCAAATTTTTGAATTAATACACAGGTATAATACACAAGGGATTACAAATATAAGTAGCTAATTGGATTTTTATAACATCGATATTAGCAGGTACACAGCATTGTTATTATCAATTGTATTAAGGCACATTGTTATTAGTTTATAAATACACTAACTGACAATACAGAAAGTATATCTATTGATAATCATAATTGATAATAAACAATCCGTGACTGAGACAGCAATGTCATAAAAATCCAATTAGCTACCTGTATTTACAATCTCATGTGTATTATACATGTATATTAACTCAAAATTTTGAAACTTTAAATGTTTATATCTAATAAACGAATTAAGTTTCATTCAAAATTCAAATGCCATTTACTATTAAATTAAAAACTCAAACATTTTATTAAATTAAAAATTTGTGTTACCATTTAAAAAAACAAAGTTGACCCCCCTCCAAGGCATAAGGGATAAACTTAAAAAGTATTACATAGTTAAAAATTCAAGAATAATGTGTAACTAAAGATAATAATAAAAAAAAAATTTTTTATTATTATTATTCTGCAAGTAATTGAGTGGGTTATGATAAAAAAATCACCCTGTATATAAAATATATAATTTTGTAATGTGTATAAAGTTTACTCTGCCGCGCTCAACCTTAACTCTATTTATATTTAAAACTGTAAATAACTTCTAAAATACAATTTTAAAAATTATTTTCCAACCAGTCACTTTCTTAATTATATTAGTTAATTATATATGCATGTTGCCATTAAAAAAAATTAAAGTCGAAAAATTAAAATTAAAATTCAAAAATACTAAAAAGAATTTTCTTAATAAAATTATTATTTTAAAATAAATCGAGTGGAACATATTAGAAGAATCACTTTTATATAATAATTTTATAACATTTTACAATTTCTCTTTGAAAATTTCAATAAAAATATTGAATATCAATTTCATAATAAATTTAATTTCTCTAATTTGTATTTATTCATGTATTGTATTAATAAATCATAAAACTTGTAGTCTTTTGTAAAAATAAACTTGTGATTAGTATGTAATTAAGGAAATAAAAGTTGATGTTATTTTTGGAATATTTCATCAATTCTTTTTAAAAATTAACTATTATCTATATATTTGCATCAAACCATTTTTGTGATAGTGATTTAAATGACTGTCAGATATCATATATACTTGTCCCAACTTTTATAATTAGAGTTTATTTAGTATAGAATATTATTATATAATAATTCCTTAAGTTATATTTTAGTATTAGTGAGCATAATTTATATGTTATAATTAAAAAAAATTCTATGAACTATAGAATATAAAAATATCCCTAAGAATGTACATGAAATATTAAATGAATTTAAAAGAAATATTGATACAAATCGATGGAGTTTAAAAAGAAGCTCTGCAGAATTTTATGATGACCTTGTTAAAAATAGCAATGAATTTAAGAAAGTAAATAAAGATGAATTAAAAGTCATTATAACTGAATGTCTTCAATTATTTTACAATCTAAATTATAATGAGGTAAATAAAATTAAATAAATTATTATTTACTAAAACAAAATTGTAAAATCGTATAAATCGATATTATAAGAATTTATTTTTTCAAGATATAAAAATATTTAATATTGATATATATTTGAAATAAAATATCTCCGTTATATTTTGAAATTACTGAGGATTAAAAATCTTATATTCTTTGTTTACGATACAAAAGTGAAGTTTTATTTTTGTCCTCCTTCATAATTTCGAAAAATCAAGTATTGCGGTTTTGACACGGAAATGATCCACAAATTTAACTTACACATTTTTCAATCAAAAAATTTTACATTTAAAAATCCTGAATATTATATATTAATTTTCTCATAAAAAATATGACGGTTATAAAACAAAATTCCGAAAATTACCTACTCATTACGAGATTTCTAACGTTTAAAGTTATCAAATAGCGTGAACGATTACATACTGTCCTCTTTATTTATTCTCAAGTTCTATTATTATTTTTTTTTTAATGAGTGATCAATTATAAGATAATTAAAAAAACCCATATAACTACCCTCGTCGGACCACATACAATCTCTAGTAAATACGGTTTTAATTTTTCTTTATGGACGAGAAAATTTTAATTTTGAATAAACATACACTTTTTATAATTAAATCTTGTTTAATATTGATCCTTTTAAATTTCAGGCTGGTGAGACCTCGCAACAGTCAAGGAATAATTGTTGCATAAATTTAAAAAAATTCAAATAAATCATATTTGTAATTTAAAAATATATTAATAATTTATGTATAAAGTGTATAATTTTTTATTACACAAATCTTCTTCTTCTTCGCCTTAATCCCAACTACTTGGGGTCAGCCACACTTATCCTAAGATTCCACTTGACACGATCTCCCACATCATCTACGCTAACATTAGCTGTCCACATATCACATTCAATTGCATCCCTCCATCTCTTTTTTGGTCTTCCTCTACCTCTTCTTCCCTCAACATTCATTTCTATAACTGTTCTTACAGCTTCCGATTCTTCTCTCCTCATAACATGACCAAATCATCTAAGTCTATTTTCTCTCATCTTATCAACGATTGACGCTACATCTATATTTCCACTTATATACTCGTTCCTTATCCTATCTTTTCTAGTCACTCCACTTATCCATCTAAGCATTCTCAGCTCTGCTACACTCATTCTCTGCTCTACTTTCTTATCAACCACCCAACACTCTAAACCATACAACATAGGTCTCATTATAGTCTTATAGAATTTACCTTTTATATTTTTGAAAAATATTTATTTAATATTAATTTAATTTTTGTTTAATTGTTAAATTATTCTATTTATCTCAGATAGTAAGTCTTTACAGATATTCAATAGGTTTAAAAGACCGCAGAAAAAGTTAAAGAAAAGTATTAGTATTTTACCATCAACTATTTTATGTATCATTGTTAAATACAAATAAATAAACCCAGTGCACTTTTAGCTTCGATACGAAGCTGAAAAGATATTACTTTTACCATGATATATTTTACATTTTTTTTTTGTTTTTGTGTTTGTCACTACTTTTTCTCAGCTCTCACTAGACCGATTTTTCTCAACGATACGTCAAAAAAAATCAAAAATCATATATGTTGTTGAAGAAATTGCCCTCAAAAATTGAAAAATTTTCCTTCGTTCCCCATAAATGGTAAAAATCCCCCAAAAAAATTACAATTTTTAGAATTGATAAATTTTGACATTTTTTTTTTTTAAATTACCATAACTTATTGAAAAATGAATTTTTTTTTTATTAAAACCTAAAATTTCAATTTCATTTTTATATACATCTTAAATTAATTCTTATGTAACATCATTATGAAAAAAAATTTTCGAACTTTAGCTTGTCTTCATGGTGAAAATTGATACCGTTTTCAAAAATATGCTATTTTTTATTTAAAATTCTCGATTTTGTATTTTTTTTTATTTCATAATACCTGCAAAGGAACTACACTGATTTTCATAAATATTATATAAATCTAATTGACATAGAATAGCGTAACTTATTTAAATTTTTTTGTTTCTTTTAAGTGGTGAAAAATAATTTATAAATATGAATTGTCATTTTTATCTAACTTACAAATGCGACATACGGAGCCGAATCGGTAACACTTGTATTTCACGCTTAGGGTACGAAGTTCAAACCTCAGCTAGGAACATATTTTTGTTTCATTTTTTTCTTTGTAATTAGATCGTTTTTTTTTTTACGATACATTAAATTATCACAACTAGTATCTAGTTACAGATAATAGTCTTAAAAATTGAAAAATAAAATCCCCTTTATCAAATAAAAAGTTGCTTAACCATCTTACTCCATATAGACAATTAAAATCATTCATTTCTAATTTTTTAAGTATTTCTGGACCTTGGGTCAAGAAGGGTCAAACACAATTTTTATCACTACTGGAAAATTAACAATTTAATTTTTTTTTAACTTTAAAATTTCATAAAATTTTCATTTTTTCTTGTACTTTTTTTCCTTTCGCGATCAAAACAAGTGTAATTTATATTATAAAATGGTAAACATTTGATTCTCTGTGTTATTTTATTAACAGTTTTTTGTTGATATTATAAAATAAATATCTATAAAAAAAAAAAACTGCATCATTGGCCCTAATACAACAAAAGTAAAGTGTTAATAGGAGTAGGTGGATAGGAGTTTTAGAATGGAAACTCAAGCTAAAAGGAAAACATCTGGTCAATTTTTAAAAGCAATTTATTTTCAAACAATTAAATAAAAACAACTCATAACTTAATAAATTATAAAATATAATGTTATCATTAAAACAATATTTAAATTAAAGATAATTTTCAAATTTAACAATTGAAAAAACGTCATATTGAACTTTGAACTTTTTATAATAACACAATTTTAAGTGCTGTTAAACATGATAAAAATAAATTATAATTATAGTAAAACCATGGAACAAAAAAAAATTTATTTAATTTTTCTTCTACTATTATAATATTATATTATTATAATATAAAAGGTTACAAATATATAAAAAATAATCAAACTAATTGGCCGCAACGAAAAATTTGTAACTTTCATGGCGTTTTACAAAATTATAAGAAAAGGGTCGCCAACCTACTGGGTGAGACGATGTATTGTCGAACCACAGTAGGATTTTAAAAAAAAATTAACTCTTGTCTATTAAAACAATTAGAAAAAATATATAATTAATAAATATTAAAGTTGATGATAGTACATGTACACCAAAACCTTGTGACAGTTGTCACATAACCATGTAGATCAGGGATGATCTTATACAAGAGGGGAAAAAGAGAAAAAGAAAAAAAAACAGATATTAATACAAAAAATAGTTACACCTACACTTTTATTATTAGAGAATATGATGAACGTCTTCGGGTACCCACCGGCTATTAACCGCGGTATTACCGCTAAGCACGGTGGGTATACGTCCCAAGTAAGCGACTGGTTTTTGGCAGTTAAACTTAGCTTGCAAGACGTTGGGACACCCCGGGATAAAATGCACTACGTCACCACATTGTACCAATAATATATATATATCACCCATAAAATATAATATAAAACCTATAAAAAAAAACATATATAACATGACAGGTGGTCTTGTACACGCCTGCCATGTTGCGGGACCTACATAAAAAAAATAGGGACACCTAAATAAAAATAAAAAACTATAAAAAAAATATAAAAAAATTTTCCACATGTGCTTACAGCATGGCGCACAAAACAAATACTATGGCTCAAAACATGGTACACAAAATTATACATTACCAGCCCCGAAGGGCTAAAGAAACTGGAGGTAGGTTCAGTCGACGACAATAAAAAAAAACTACATAATAAACGAACAGGGGACACTCACGTAAAAAAAATGTATATATATATATAAAAAACAGTTGTANAATGATTTTAATGAATATATATATATAAAATTAACGGTTGCGGCGCACACAACAAAAAAAACCGCTGTGGACGAAAATTAGCGACGACCAGTTCCGATGATGGCTAATTTCCGACAACCCGTCCGACGTTTGACCCGGCGGTCCGTTGGCGACCACACGGCTAGCCTTTAGAGTAGGGGTCACAAAAAAACTTAATACCCAGTGCCGGAAATTACTAAGAACAATTTAAATCATAAGGCGACAATGTATGCGGTGAGCAGTGCAAATGATGTTCAAGGTGGGAAAGGAGCGGGGTGAATGTACACACAAATGCCGTCCATGAACCGGTCTGAAGTAGTANTATATATATATATATATATATATATATATATACAAATAGACAAAAAATAAATAGATACTTTTGTCACGTTACAAATAGAATACTCTTTTGCACTAAATTAAAAATATTTGTTAGATAGTAGTACCCAAAACATATTTTTAGGATAATTACAATTAATACTTATTAAAATTATAAAAACTATTTCGGTTAAACATTTTTAACAAAAAAACTTTACAATTTTTAAAGAAATTCAGCCTTGAACTTGTTTCAATATCACAAACTAGAAGCTTAACTATTGTAAAAAAAATAATTCAAACAAATTACCAATCCGTATGAAAATTTTATATATTTTAATATAATTATGTTTATACATTTGTAACTTTCTTCTTCACTAGATCTAGAAGTAACTTGAGAGTTATGTATCAATTTATTGTAAAATGGTGGGCTTGATTCATTAATAAGTGGTAATAAAGACTGTATGTCCTTCAACTTTTTTGCCTCAATAGGTAGAGGATTTGTGTATAGAACATTTAGTTCAATTCATTCACAATACATTCTTGTTTTTTTGTCCAAGTCCAATATTTTAAATATTTTTATTGCCATCACAAGAGAGGGAATGTCTGTATAAAACATTTCTAAAACTACTGGTCATGTATTGCATCCATCTTATCTTATTCCAACCCACAGCTTCACAATCAGTGTTACATTTTTTATGAACAAATACTTTGCCAAATAAATCTTTAAAATTTAAAAAGTTATTTTGCTGCATTTGAATCAATTATTGGGGATTTTCTTGGAACTGAACTTATAAGAATAGCCCAGTCTCTTGGCAGTTCTATATCTATCAATGTACGCTTAACGCAATCAGTTTTTTGGGGTACTCCTCTATATAATTAGATATGAATTGGTTTCATCCTTCAGAAATAAACTTAAATATTTTTAAAAATTATACACATTTGTTTGTGCATCAATTTTTTCAGAGCATTTGCGTTTACAGGAACATGGGGGTTTCAACGTTTTTGCAGGAATTTATTTACCTTTTTATGTTGTACAACTTTTTACTTGCATCTTTAATTTCTTCCTGATGTTTTTGATCCAACCTTCCGAATTTTTCGTGTGTTTTCTTGTAAGTAATTCATCATCTTACTTTTTTCTACCACCACTTTTTGAATTTATAGCAGAACATTTGGCTGTACCAAATTCATCAATAAGTTCTACATCATAATAAAATATTGTAATATGCAATTAATTGGGTAAATATTAATATTATTTTACCTTCAATATCAATATTCTCATTATTACCATTAATATCTTCATCAAAACAACTGTCATTGGATTCAATGAATTTCTTAGTTGGTGGAGTATAAAATTCATTGCTAGAATCATTGTAACTTAGAGAAATAGTTCCACTTTCACTTTCAGATTCGATTGTACATTCTAGATCAAAATATACTGATAAATGTAATGTAAGGCATAATATTTTTAATGTGATCAATAAACCATCTTCATACCTTTATTTGCATTTTGGCACATTGTAACCATTAGTTTCGAT